ATATACCAATATTTACATCTGTTTAAAGGATAAAACTAATAATGTCTTTTTTCCAAAAAAGACAATTTCTTTTCGGCTAGCAGTTCTCAGCTCGATTTCGATTGTATCTACATAATTACGTCGTAAAGGAAGGTATAGAGGTGATTGGTAGACTCTAACTATTTGATCTGTCCTTTCCCCATTACAGGTATAACCCTTAAAAGTGGAGCGGTTATATCCCCAACATGATGAGATGCAACGATATTCGAATAAATAAAAATTTCTGAAGTTCCGGCAGATAATTCGATGGGATACTTGCTCACATATTCACCTTCGGAAAATTTGCTTTTTTTAAATCCTAACAAATCTTTTAATTTGTTTCCGAATTCAATCGTTATATTTTTATGAACTTTTAAAACGATTTTGTTATTAGGTAGTAATGCTAATTTAATATATTTAATAATTCCAAGAAATTTTTTAACAGAGGAATATAACCTGATGAGAATAAAAAATTTTTCCTCTACATTGATTTCCTCGACAAGTTTTTTATTTATTTCTATTAAAGTTATAAACTGATCATTGTAAAATCTAGGATTTGATAGATATTTCTTACTCGCTCCTCGCAATATTAAACCCGAACTCTGTTGTTTAAATGCAATATCTTGTTTTAATGAATTTAAAACATAAAGTAGCTTCTGAGCATTGTTTGTCTAAAATATGCAACTTGAATCCCTCTTCCAAATTTAGTTTTACATTTTTATAATCCTTGTCTAAAACAAATTCTGCCATCTTAGATCCTGTTAACGAAAACTATATTCTTGTTTATCCAATCGAAAACCGTTCTTTCTTCATTTTCATCGCCTGTAGATAATGGAATCTCACATGTTTCATTGGTTATTTTTTTTCTACTAATTTTATGTCTAGTAATAGTATAATCGTTATTGTGATTTGATATATTAAACCAATTTCTAGGAATAATAACCTCGCTCAGACCTACTACCCATTTCCCACGTAAATCAATAGGTAGACTCATTTTCACGGTGAAATGAGACTGCTTATTTTCGGGAAATAACTCCATCCTGGCGTTGCTTATCAGAGTGATGAAAAAGTCCGACTGCATCATTTTGTTACCTTCTGTAATTCTTTTGTATAAAATCTTCCTTCCAAAATCTCGTTATTTAGATCTTTCAATATATACGTCGGAGGATGAAACGAAAAACGATCGTAAATAATAAATATTTCTTCTGTCCAACCAGGTAGGTATCCTCGACTAAATATTGTACGTATTTTCGAAATTCGAACGAGGTCGCCAGTATTAAATTTAAACGTATTCTGTCCTTTTATACCGTACAACTTTTCGAAAATAGAGCTGTGATGTAGGGGAGTAACTTCCGACAAAGACATACTGATACTTCTATGAAAGCTGTTATTATAACTTTTCACAAAATTCGATAATTTATTGATATTTATAAGAATTACGATAAGTAAATAATCTATATATTTTATTTCGCAAAGTTTTGTTTAATCTTTCAACGACAGCAGCTTTTGTATCGGAATGAGTCGAATAATGATTAATTTTAAATTTTTTAAAAAGATTTTTTACTAATGTATTATAAAATTCTTTTCCTTTATCAGTATGTAAATTTTTTGGAATGTTTTTTTTCAAAATGGTTTGAAAAGCTTTAAAAACCGATTGGAGTGTTTTTTATCTTTTATCGTTACGACATAATAATACTTATTAAATACATCGATTACAGTTAGTAAATACTTTATTCCATTATTAAATGTAGAAAATTGTTTTAATACAACTAAATCAGCCTGCCATAAGTCGTTAGGATAAAAACTTATAGTTTTTCGTCGCGAATATTTAATTCTTACAGGTTTATAAAGCGTATAAGTTACTTGAGAAGACAGCCATTTTTTAACAACAGATCGTGGCAAATTTGATTCTTTAACTAATTTATTCACACCACCAAAAGACGCTGAAGATTTAAAATTATAGTATATCAATTTCAAAAGTTTTTCCATTCGAGATTTTTTTTCCTCTTCCTCAGATTTTTTTCACTGATGAGAGAAATATTTCTTCCGAAGTTTCGACTGATATTGATTGATCAAATATTTTTCCGGTGATGTTGCCAAACTTTTGTTTTTATCCACTCTTTAAAAATATTTATTTTCTTTAAGCCATCAAAAAAGTATTCAAAACCAATGGGAGGTAATGCAGTTTTTCTATTTCTCATTACATACGAAACTAAGTCTACTATACGACTCCCGATAACAGGTTTTTTATCGATTGTTAATTCACCTTTAGAATTCCATTTGTAATGACTTTGATCCAACTTAGCGATTAAATGAGGTAAATATTTTTGATGTAATTGAGGTACAGATAAAATTATTCGTTTCATAAATCTGTCATCATCACCATCATCAGTTTTTTCTCTCTGTTGAGATTCTGTTTCTTCATTTTGGTTAGATACGATTGATACTCTGACAGGTTCTTTAGGAGTGTGAACGGTTATCTGATATCTCGAAATCAATTGACTTAATAACTTGACTTTATCGTCATCAGGTAAATTTGTACTGTCGAGTAATTCTTCTATATTAGATCCAATTCTCATTACAGGCTTTTGATAACTCATCAATAATTCGGAAGGAACTAAGGCCATCTGCTTTGCCATTAGATTCTTTTTCCTATTACTGTACCGATTAACCCTATTGCCATACACAATAACATCACCAGTAGAATAGGAAGAAATCCACCAGATTGATTAACCGAAATTTTTTTTTGGTATTTAAAGGAACGCGTTTTTCGCTTAATTTCCGGATATTTTTTTTTATATTTTCGTAATTTACAAATATCGGTGGGTATATTTTCTCTCCGCAAATTATAGCATTTTTCACACAACACTTTAACTTGATTGGGAGTAGCTTCTTTCAATATTGCTTTCCGTTGGGAAGGAGTAGTCTTCGCTAAAAACGCTAGCATATGATAATTTTTCCTTACGTTTTTTATTTTATCAGTAAGTAAATCCAAAATATACCTCGTTTGTCGGGGAAACAAGAATCTCTCACAGGAAATTTCTTATCTGTTTTAGGATGAAAATCTAATAACAAATAACCAAATTTCTTATCTATCGCTTTTTTATATGCATCCATGAAAAAATTAAATTTTCCCGCAAGAGTTTGGTGACCAAAACAATTCACCTGACTCTCATCACGATTATTTTTAAATAAAATCAAATAATGTGTATTTAAACTTATATCTCTTATAATATTATTTTTCGGAAACAAATTTTGCATTATTAAAATCACACTTACATTACAGTGATGATGTTCTGTCGTAAACAAAAATGCTATTTTTTGTTTACTACAGTTTTGTTACGAGACAGTTCGTGCATCAGATCATCGATTATTATCAAATCCCATCCTTGAACAGATTCGAGTAAGCTGTACATAAATGTAATATCCTTTTCTTCTTGAAAAACGGTAAATATACGGAATAACAACATAAAATCTTCTTCGGAGGATTTTCATAAATTTTGTTGTGAATCATTTTTCTCACCAATGTGGTTTTTCCAGATTAGGAAGGACCGGCGATTAAACAATTACTGGGATGTTTGAAATACATATTAATCAACTTTGTCACCCTTAGATAATTTAGAAAATTTATAATATATCATTTTTGGACTTATCTCTTTAAACACCACTAAAGTTTTCTTATCATTTTCTAAACATATTTCTCTTATATCTTCTGCACACTGTTCGAACGAACCGTATAATCCATTACATACTTTGCTAATTTTCCATTCTTGCCAAAAATTATAAAACCGTATTTTCCTTTTTTTTTCCAAATATTTTTGACTTTGAAATAGCGGAGGATAAATGGAAAATTATTGGGAACATTGAACGAGAAATTTTTTACCGCAGAAATGCAAGCGCCCAAAGTACGGTGCAGAATTGAAGAATATGAGTATATTTTATAGTCTCCGTAAGTAACCAGAAAACCATACATCCCAATGATTGCAGCTTATATATACAACTAATTCTCTTTAACAAAGTAACTTATATAAAATACTAACCAATCACATCTTCGTTCAAAACTAACAGTTAATCATATTTTTCTTTAAAAACAAATCGTTTTTTTTAAAACTTAGTCGAATTTTTAAAAGTTGTGTTATCGTTTTGTATTATTAAATTCTTATACAAATTAAATATAATCTATACTGTATCGGTCTTTATTTCAATATAATTAAAAAAAATTTTTTTAATATTAAATTTATATACTAATTAATACTGTTTAATATTTATAACCCAAAGTGTATCGATCGTATACTACTTGTAGATTAAATGAGATGTGAAAGTTTCTATTTCTGAACTTCTGTACGTAATTCTCTCTATATTTCCTACTAAAAAAAACCAATTATTTTATCTTAGGAATAAACTATTACAATCAAATCATAAACTGTTTGATTCATTAATTAATGTGTACAGTACATTATCATACTTATATTAACATTAGATTCTGAATGGCAGAGGGATCATTTGGAAATTATTGAAAACTGTAAATAAATATCACGTTGTAATATACAAGCTGTTTGTTATTACCGGCAATTCATTTCCACGTAAGGAGTGATTTGACAAAATGATTTGATACGAGAGAATTGCTGTACTTGTACAGAAAAATATTTATACTGTATTTATTTTCTTCGATTGTCACTAATTATACTGTATAATGATAAATATTTCTCATTGTTTATCGGTTATCTTTTTAAATATTATTACTATGTAACTACAAATATTGAAGAAAATACTGAATATGTTTATATTTTGCATACGAATTTAATTTTCAGTTTTATAAAAAAACTATATGTTGGATTTTTTATTCCAACAATTCATATTGAAATATTTTCTAATAGATTTAATTATAATTTAATGATTATTTTATATAATGTAAAAAATATTTTTGTAGGAAAATGAAAATAAAAAAATACTACCTGATGATGTACAAGTTGGAAAAATAGGAATTTCTGTCTATAAAGAATATTTGAATGCTGGATCAAGTTTTCTTTTCAGGATATTGTTATTACTAATGCTACTTGTAGCACAATCTATTACAAATGGCAGCGATTATTGGCTAATCAAATGGTACGCTATATTTATGATGAATGTGAGTTTATTCATGTAAACAGTTTTTAAATACAAGTTTAATGAAGAAACATTACATTATTTATGTCAAATTTATTTCAGCATTGTAAAAAGTTTCAGATATAATCGAACAAGCTTTACTAGTTGAAACAGATAATAATTCTAATTCTTTCATCTCAAATTATTTCAACGTACAGAGTAGGCTTCACGTACTGTCTTTTCTCGATAAATTTTTCTGTTGTCTGTCTGTCTTAGAACTGACTTCAATGAGAATTTTGGGGGTTTAGGTTTGCATATTGTGACACAAGATTTGAATCGAATCACGATAGTGAGTGGTGCTATAGGTAAAATCTGGAATAAAAGTTTAGAAAAAAGGAAGACAAAGGACTCAAAAGTAATTAAATCGGATTTGGTACTTATAGATAAGGAACGCTAAGATTTACTTCACAAAAATTGTTGCATTGGTGTGGGCCTTTCCAGGATGGTTAATAATTTCAAACTCATATACTGCAATTCCAAATTCTATCTACTTAATCTCAAACTTTCATCTTTCACCTTTATATGCCATCTAAAAGTTCTAGTGTGTGTTATAATTTTAACCATTGTACAGTGAGTTACTCAGCTATGACACTATCATGATGTAGTGGAGGATAAACCTGGGAAATTTTTAAGTATTTTCCTACACGTTTTACTCGTTACTGTTTTTTAAACAATTATGTCAAGTAAAAAAAATTATTTTTTATTCTCACATAATTCTTATTTTATGTGAATTTTTTTCGCGGTAGTTTATGGCTACTTTTTGTCATTATCTACAAATATCCGCGAAATTCTTTTGCGGATATAGCCGTCGTTCACTAGTGCCATGTGATTTCCCTTGATATCTATATCTATTGATCACTGCAGAGTGGTTACACTTCCTACCATACAAGTATGCCTAAAATGTCTTATTGCCCAAATGATTGCTAGGCACTCCTACTCGGTTGTGCTGTAGTTTCACTCAGCCTTTTTGAGCAACTGGCTTGGGTATGCCACAGGAAGTTTTCCACTTTCTTCTTCATTCAACATGACTGTGTCTATGGCTGCATTGGATGTGTCAGTTGCCAACACAAAAGGTTGACTGAAATCAGGTAATCTCAGGAGTGGACACCTTCTTCAACCTATTGAAAGCAGACTCATTCCTTATTGGAATATTGTGTCATTCGTCAATAAATCAGAGAGGGGCTTCAAAAAATTTTTGCAAATTAGGCAATATGTCTCTGAAAGTAACCTGTTAATTTCAAAAATACCTTTATATCTTGTTTATATCTCGGACATGGAAAACCTTAAACATTTATTTTCCCTCAATCCAGTCAATTGCCTCTTCGGAGACCTTGTGTTACAAGGATTTTACCTGCCTCTTCAAAAAGTGACATTTATTGTGTTTAAGTTTTAGGCCAATCACAACCAATTGCTTCTAACCTCTCTGAGTGAGAGGTAAAGTAGGGAACTAAACACAAGGATTTTGTTCATACATACCAAACATATTTAGTTCTTCAGACCACTTAATACCAAATTGGTGTGTGCACTTTTGGAATGTTGCAGCTGCATTGGAAAGGCCCATCACAAGGCAATTAAATTGATAATGACCCAATGGAGTATTGAATCCAGTTTTCCTTTTGAATTCGAGATCATCTGTAATTGCCAATAACTGCTCAATGTGTTCATTGTGGAATAATATTTCGTCTTGCATAACAAGCTTAATGATTTATGTATCAATCGCAAGGGGTAAGGATCCATTTCTCTCACTTTGTTAATTGTCTATAATCTATGACAAATCGATAATTTAGATGAGATTTTTTGACCAATAATGCTGGCGATGACATCATCATCATCATCATCATCATTCATCTGGTTTATTAACATAATATTAAAATTACATATTCAGGTACTGCAATAAGCACAGCCTGATTAAAATTGTTTACAAAATTACAAAGTTATATTTTGAATAAATCCAAGATTTGGTAAAATAAATTAAGTTACAAATAATAAACTTCAAAATATTACAACACTACATAAAACTATATACTGTACAAGAAATGCAATACATAAAATTAAATACAAAACAAACATTAAAACACATTGGTGTAACCTGAGGAAATACCTTACTGAATATATGATAAATTCTATACTATCAAAGTTACCTCGCATTCTTCAATTTGTAATCAAACAATTGTGTTATGTAAGGTCAATTCTATTCAAGTATTTTATCTTTTCTTCAAGATATGTAGAACACATTTTGTCCATTGTATTGTGATTATGTTCTTGTTTGTTTTCCCTCAGGCAATTTGCACATTTTGGTGTTTCATGTCTTTTGGTACAGTCTTTGAACAAGTGGTTCTCATTACAATGGCTACATATGTTCTCAGATGCAGGGCACTTTCTCGCTATGTGTCCAAATGGCAAACATCGAAAACATTGCAGTATTGGAATATAATCATATGCACTATAGGTTGACCACCTTATATGAACTTTCTTTCCTTTAAGAATTCTTTTTCTTATATCATAACACACTTCTATCACCCAGGAAACATATTCATCATATTTTTGTTTTCAGGAGAATCTAACCTTAATCTGTTCAGCATATACGCAAAAATAAATATCTTCAAACAAATGTGTATTCTGTTCATATATATCTTCAATAAGTTCTTCTTCGCTAACAATTAAAGGAACAGACACTACTTTGATTAAAGGCAATCTGTTTTTAGGCATGTGAGATGTTAAACCTGGGACTCTGTCTACAAACTCTTTGAAGTGCGCAGCATCCTTTTGATAACTTAAATCAACAGCAACTCCATCATTATTTTTTTTAACACGTTTTATTCTAACTCCAATATTGTGAGACTCTACATTTTGAAGTAAGTTGTTTTTTGTCTGGTCAGATGTTGAATTCTCATCATGACTGTACACTAAGACTTTATGTGCTAATTCAGGCGGAGCTTTAACAATATTAGACAATATATTACCTTGTTTTAATGCATCTCTATAACTAGGATAAGTAGCATTTCTTTCAATTGTTTGTACGTCAGATGGTTGCTTTCCGAAATTATTCACTTTCTGAAGAATATCTTTCAGAATATTAATCCTGGAAACCCCGAATCTCTTTAATGTCCTCCTTAGTTGGTATAACAGAAAATCTTTGATCCAAGCTTTCAAACAATCTTTGTTTCTCTAAGGCCACTTCAGCATGTTAAATCACTCTGTTAAACTGTGTCAAGATATAAGTTAAATGACACTCCACCCCAAGTCTATCCCTAGGGTTACTCTGTGAATAACTCTTTATTTCATCAAGAATGCTGTTAGCAAAATCATGAAATAATTTTCTCTCCGATTCCATATCGAACAAAGATGAAATAAGATAGTCTATTTATTTAATTAATTCAGAATGTTAGGTTTAAAATTATTCTAAAGTAAAATATAAATTCAATTAACTTGAAAACATTTGTATCGTCTACTCTGGCTCGAAACGATTCTAAAAATATAAAATATGGCTGAAATTATGTATAGAAACGTAGAAAATGCGACTTCCTGTAATTGTTCTAGAAAGTTCCTGACTAAAACATCAATGACAGTTGCTATGGTGATTGAAGAGTTGAAATTAGAATAAATCGTAGAATTGTCATTATACAAAAACTATAAGAGCTATGGTTATAAAATTTTCAGAGAGTATTACATTTTACGTCCTCTAAGAATTACCTGAATATATTTCAGAAGTAGCCCACTGGAAGGAAGTTAAAGGGTGCCGAAAAAATCACGAGAAGTAGTTGATATTTTCTAAAGTACTGGACCCAGAACCCCAAAAATTGCAAGATGTACTCACATTAGCATTGCGGACAACCCATGATAGCTGATTTCGGTTAATCGGTTTATGTTCGGAAAATCGAATCCGAAAAGTAAACAGAATTTTAAAAGAGTGTTACTTTGTAATGGAGCGTCCGGATTTAACAAACTTGCCGAATTCTTGGTCCCCAAGAAAAACACTTTCATAAAATATATAACACTTAGTACAAATAATTAAAATTCATCAAAAGAACTTAAAAATCCAAGAGCTGAAAAATTCCACTTCACTTCACATTGATGCAGCTCCTCCAGAGCCGCTGGCGATGACAATGGGAAGCTTGATGGTTCAACTATCCCACTTTCTGTCACGTCCTTTATTAATTTGTTAATAATTTTTTGTTATGCATATAAAATGCGATACTGAGCCTGATAGAGTAGAGGACTTATCGCCTGTATCTATCTTATGCTAGGTGAAACTGCAATATATAACGTCAAAATCGTCCTTGAAAACACCTATTTATATTTATATAATAAGTTCAGCAAAGAAATCAACTTGTCTTTTTCCACTTCACTGAAATTCAATCGATTTGCTACCTGAGCTCTAGTCAGCTTTTTCCTTGGTTCATCATGCATTATTTTGTTCACTCATTTCCTTTGTTTTTTTCTGCCTTAATTTAAAAAAGTGCCTATTCTACTTTTGCTATTTATTTTTATTGGTTGAGTGGAAAGATTTATAATCCTAATTGCTATTTTGCTATGGTGTTGCGTTTTAACTAAGACACCTGCAATAATATTTCCTTCTCTATCCAAAGTGCAAGGTTTGACCATGCCCACCTGGTCAATGACTTTATTTCTCACTTTTCCTTCCACAATGACTTCTAATCACAGGGGAACTACACAATCATTTAACAATATTACATCTTTCAGAGTCTCACTTTTTATGTTTTTACTAACTGTTGATCGTTGGTTTAAAGTTACTGAACTACTTCTTGGTTTATTTATCTGTGAACTGATTTTTTTTGTTCCTTTTATACTTGTTACTTTTATCACACTTACTATCGTTTACGCTAATATTGTCTAATCGCGTCGACTTTTCCTCAAACATAATGCATTGCTCTCCTTCTTGCTGTCTACTATCATTTTTTTCCAATTCCATGAAGATTACTAACATTGTTGTGAAAACTCGCTAACCCCAAGAAAATTAACTTATTTTCCGTTGGAAATATTAGCTTCACGTTTTAAATGGATATGGTTTTATCATATTTCTCAATTATATCCCTTCCTAAAATCCCGTCATTCGGTTCAGTTATTTTAGGGTCTACTTTCTAACGTTTGTGAGAAAACGCTAGACTACCGATCATAAACTTTGTTATATTCCCCAATTGTTTTTAACTAGTGGCCAGTTACACTAATTAAATTTAACACGCTTCTTTCCACTTCTGGCAATTTACTTAAATCTTGAAAAAAGATCTAGATACTAATGTAACGGCGTGGAGAATCCTCACTCTTTGACATACTGATTCCGGCTAATAGGATCGTATCATGTGCTTCATCACTTAGATGTTTTATGTAGCGCAGATGGTCTCTAATTTTAACTGAAATAATTCTATCACAACGATTCTCTTTCGAATTATCTGGATTCTCCTCCCTTTGATTACCTACATTCCTTGAGGTTTCCCTTCGGAGAGGGTAACGCTAAACATTTGCTGTCAGTCATGCTGATTGGTGTTGTCTGAGTCGAAAAACCCCCTTTTGGACCAATTCTAACAATTATGTGCCAAAATATAAGGCAACTATTCATAATTGAGATTGTTTTTCGTTCAAGTTTCCTGTACAAAAAGGTGCATGACTCATATAAAACAGATATAATGAGGGCAGAAAAGGGGCTATTGGAGTCGGCCCTCTCAACAGAATACGATTATTAATTTCCTGCCATACCTAATTTGGATGGATGAAATGTAAGGGTTCTTCCGTTTCTACCTGTCCATGGGCAAAGGATTCAGTATGTGGTAATGCCAAAAGAATGTTTGATTATAATATGTCACGGGAGGTTTTCTGGTCGATCGGTCTTATAAAATTCACAGGTGATGGTTTACGATGCCAGCTCAAATAACTCTGCACTTTTACTTTTACATTTCTGAAATTTGGTCTTGTTGTGGATTTGGGTGTTTGCTTGAATTGTATATCTACTCACAAGGATTATTTACTGGACTCATTGAGGACTGATTCTCTATTTTTCTTCCCAATGTTTTCAGTTGCTGCGTAATCTAATTGATTCTCGTGTCAAGCGCATGTTCTTTATTAATATTTTTGTTTTCTACTTTTGGTACATTATTGTGCTGCATCTCCTCTACGCTTGCAATAAAATTTCTCTTTCTTCCCATCAACTGTTCAATCGTCTCTTCTCTGATTGCCACCCTCAAGGCTTTTGAAAATTTGGTAGTATCCTGTGACATAACGTTTCGCATAATTTTTTGTTAAGCCTATACAGAAACTTGATGCAGAGCTTTCTGTCTAGCCTCCATTGTGGACATTGTCTTATGATGGCGTGCTACTGTTCTGTGATTCTCGTTTATGAAATGGTCATTGTGTTGGCTGAAATTTGCATCCTGATCGCAAATACTAAATCCTTTCCTCACATCGCTGGATGCAAGCATGGAATTTTTGCACGTGGATTAAATATGGCTCGCAGTCAAATCAGTCCACCATTAAGTGGTTAAAGTCATCATATTTCAATCTTGCTTTTTGTTTGCATATCCCTTCAGTCAAATCTCGTCGACACCTGCCAGTTCACATTTCGCGATGATCAGGCACTGTAGGAAATTCATCTTGATGAAATAGCTACTTTGTCCAATGTATTGAAAAAAGTCGGTGATGCACTCGCTTTCACCAAAAAAAAATAGGAATCATCTCTCCAAACATTGCGATTGTGCCTCTGCTTACTTCCCATGTTCGTAATGGGAGCCTGTCTCTGTAGCCATGTTCTCATCCAGTTTTCCTTCTCACCCGAACAATTTTTGTATTGGCTTCCTCAAAATCCTGGCAGACAGCACTACTATTTTTATATAACAGTTTCATTTGGGTTTAGCATTTTCACTTTACTGACACCACAAAGGTGACAAACGCACGAAATGTTCGAGGGATCAAGACAAATTGTATGTGGGTATGTGGTAGTGACAAATTGAATGGAGACAGGGGTCATCTATTACACCATTTAATAAAATATAAAAACTTTCGTACAACAATTAATTGCAATAAGAAAAAGCACTGCTCATAAAGCAAAAAGTAAGTCCACAATAACAGTTCGAAAGTTCAAGATCAAGATGTTTCCATGGTTTTTTTTTTGTTGACATGAAGCTTGCTGGCCCCAAGGCATACAGCACGATTCCTAGTGGTTTCCTTTGTCAACTAGGTGAATTAGAATAAACCTGGGTGACAGATGATGAGGGCTGGCTCCAGTGATGTCTGTACTTTTTCTCAATCAACTCTTCCAGGCGCACCCACATCAGAGTTAACAGAACTGCAATCCAAAATCTTCTCAGTTTTGAATCACATGCTTATATAAGTTTTAACCTCACAGTTGTGGTTTAATTAGTCTTTCATGGTCACCTGGTGACATTTGACACCTGTTAAGGAGACGCATGAGAGGTGACCTTCTTGACTTAACACGACTCCTCTCTAACCGCCTTTAATGCTCTTTGGCTTTCTCTACACAATTCATCGTTTGTTTAAAAATCCAAAAAAACTTTCATTGTTTTAACGATACATCCAATTCTTTCTAATCAGGTTAGAAAAGAATTTTTAAAATCTCGTTTAATTACCTCCCTTCAAACTTCTAAGACAACATTAGTTTAGATCCTCACACATTCAGTAGATAATTTAAGACTACCACTGATCTGATCATCTAGTAGATGATACACTTTTGCCCAGTGCTTTTTCGGGGAAGAAATGGTAGTGGTACGCTCCTCTCATTATTAAGCATATATTACATGCATTGTACACAGGATTCGGCACACAAGCAGGAGCAGGACCGTCTAAATAATTTTGTTGGATATCTTCTATGCTCAACAGAGCGATTCAACGCGGACAAAACATCAAATTTTTAAAAATTCTCTTAAAACTTTTAAATTATATTGAGAAAAGGTGGTGGAACGCCGTTCCATTGCGTTCTATGACAAAATGCACTGCTTTTGCCGATTATTGTTGTATGGTAGATGTCATCTACCATACAGAAATAATAGGGAAAACTGTTAATGCTTAATGTTAACGATAAAGACATATTTATGAATGGAAACTCGAGCATTCTACAAGTTTCATTCTATGTTTAATAACAATTTAAAACAGCAACTCCATCTCTATCTTGTTAAATCATATTCTACCTGTCATCTGTGTTATTTTCCTTTACAAAACCATTACCTGTAAAAGCTTCAGCCACAACGTATAAGATAACAAGAATGTTCACACTTCAACATTCAATACTGAATTATGAGAATGTAGCTTTTCATTTAAATTTTTATATGCAATTACGAAAATGTACTACGAATTGACCATCCTATATACTTCAATATTACTGATTGGCATTGCTTTTTTCTCAATGGATTTAAATAGTGCTATTGTATATCTTCATATTGAACAAATATTATATAATTGAGAAAATTAATTGTTATTTTCTATTGATTTTCAGGTTGCACAACAAACGGATCTATAGAGAAAATGTAAATAATGTTCAAAATTTGACATTTAAGTCAACAATATTTAACAATAGTGAAGACCAAGACTTATATTATAGTGAAAAATATAATGTATATGTTTACTTTGGACTAACATGTGCAATATTTTTTACGATGATACTTTCTGGATTACTATTGTATAATTTTTTCATTGCTGCATCTTTGAAGCTGCACAAGAATATGTTTCACTGTATTATTCGAACTCCAATTTCATTTTTGGATAAAAACCCTGTTGGTATGTAAAATTTATGAATTATTAAATGTTTTAATATATTAATTTTAATTTTATACTAAGTTAAAGAATGCTGAATTAAATTACATAATGAAATATTTTTTATAAAATACTGAAAGTACTAAATTAAATTTCCGTTTTTGCATTACCGTCGACCCTCTATAATACAAGTTTCCATAGTTCGGATTCCTATATACCGGCGAAAAAATTGCGACAGTATTCGTAAAAACATGCTAAAAAACTTGTATAATTCGGTAAAACGTCATCGCCTACTCGTGTTGCGACAGGATTGGTCGAATCTAGACCAATAGCGGAAATTGTACAAACCGTTCAGTTTAAACGAGCAGCGGACCTACTAAAAACCATTTATTATTTAACGGGCAGAAAAATTATATTTATATTAATGATGTCTCCAAAGTTCAGCGAATTTTTCGCAAAAAAATAATTTATCAGCAAGCACGCGAGCGCCATTCGATGACAAGCTCCACTACGAAAACAAGCTTAAGCAATGGAGTGGTCGAACGGTGGACACTCGATAAGTAATCCTACAAATTTTTGTTTATAGCATTGTTTATATAGATAATTTCCAGAAAATCATACTTATTTTGGAAATGTTGAGTCGAATTAGACTAGAATCGATTAATTTTATGGAAGAAACCTTTCAAACAGCGTAGTCCGTAAACTGCATATATGCCGGGCTGTGATTGACTGGACTCATAGAAAATGGATTCATAAAAATCGGAACGTATCTACCTTATGGGGGGTCGACTGTATTTAAAATATTTTAGATTTTTGTGAAACATAATTTCGCTTTTAAAACAGAATTGCTGTCTACTGAACTAATAGAATGATATATAATAAATTAGTGACATAAGATGCAAAGGCTTAATATATTGTTTCGTGATCACCAAAAATATAGTTTAGCTGTAAACAATATACGCATTATTTATTTCTTTTCTGATACAGTATAATATACAAAAGCTGAAAGTAATAAGAATGTATGTGTTAAAATGCAAAAAAAAAATTCAGAATAAGTAAAAAAGCGATTTTTAGTAATAAGATGTCATATACAAGCGATGTTGGATATTAAAGCAAAAGAAGTATAAAAAAAGCATTTTTCAAAACATTTCTATTGAAATCCTGTTAAACATTATTTGGAAGATATGTGAGACCTTGTACTGTATTTTGTTTTATAAGCCTATTTACATAATTACAGCTTTATTGCTCTACCTATATACTTTACGAACATAATTATGTACATTGTACAAAATCTTCAGGTATGAAAAAACATGTCAAGGTGACAACTGTAAATCATACAGATGTGCTATGTACTGTACTATAGGGTCGTATAGATAATAATTTTAATGGAATACATAAATTCTACATAAGTTTTTCATTCAAATAATCTGTTATTTCGATATTTTTAGGAAAAGTTCTAAATCGATTTTCTAAAGATGTGAATAACGTAGATGACAATTTACCTAATAATGCTCACCAATTGTTAAAAGTAAGTTTACATAATTTTGTTTATTTAAATTTGTGTAAAATGAATTTTAAGTAATAAACATCTAAGCGGGATATGCAGTTAATGTAGTGTATTTATGGATTGCATAGCCTTTATTTTGTTACAGCAACGAGAAATTCAACAAATGAAGCATGCAGTGTATGCACTTTTTATCCTAATCACTGACGATTGATGCTTTTATTCTAGCCATTAATAGTATTTTGTATAATTTTTTCAAGAACACTGAACTCGAAATTTTTAAGTTTTATCTATCTTTTTGAACTACGTCATTGATATTAACTCTTTTACCGAAACAAATGCAAATTGGGAAATAAGACAGGAATGTTGATAAACAAGAATCTTTTTATTTTCTCTCTGGAGTTCGACATGGTGTAGCTTTTCTTTGAAATGAAGATGTTGCACGGTAATTTATTTTTTTTGTCAACCTTCTTTTTCGTTAGATTTTACGAATTTTGGTTGGATTTTCATTACTATTATGCAAAACTGGGGTGACTATTTCACGTCTAATCTGTGCTATGATTCAATCAGATCCTATAAATTGCAGCTGACTCTTCACGTATACAGTAAACTCATGACAGTGCTATAGTTTTATTGTGTTTATAGAGCTTATGCATATTTTAGCTTGATTAGTGCTACATGGGCTATGTACTAGAAAAACAACTTATTAATGAGACATGTTTTGTATATATGTGTGACTATTTGTAAAAATGGTCACAATCACATATTTTTCACATAGTAATACTTTGATTAACAGCTGAGCCAGTTAGGTATCAAACGAAATGTTTTCATGAAGTTGACATCAATTACAGAAACGTCAATAAATCTTAGGTATTATCAGTATAGGCTGAATTAAAAAAGCTCCATTATTGACAATAATGTCGAAAGAGTCGAAAAAAGTAGTTTTGCTTATTACTTTTATAAAATTTAAACCGCTTTAAATGATCGTAAAATAAAATAACTATATACTAACTCTATGCTAACTCAGTTTTTGCTCAACTCAAAAACATTTTTTTTTAAACAGTAGTTGAAAATTTTTTCCATTAAAAACTCATAAGTAATGTGCATTATTGATATATAAAAATACACAAAACTATTCGCTATATTATTGTTTCAGATAGAAAAATAAACAATGTATATTGCTGTGTACAGAACTTTCAAAGTTTATTAGTTCCTTTCATGTATAATGTCAGTTTAATAAACTTTTGTATAGTGCTTATTTTAACACAATAACATTTTTCATAACATTATGGAACAAATATTATCAACTGGAATACTATTTAACTCAGACAATGTTTATTCTCTGTTAGTTGAGTTTAAAACAGTTAAATGTGAGATCTGAACTACCCCAAGGATTAATTAATAATTTAATTAAGGTAAGTCAAATGCTATTGTTTATCACAATCGATCGCATCGCTATCCAGATTAGCATTGATTTTGTTTGAGTAGACGTATAAGACTCATCTCTACTTATCCTTCAATTCATCTTTGGAAATATTTACTAACATACTTGCAATTTCATCTCCTGTATACAGAAAATAAACAAATATTTTATATTTTGCGTATATATGTGAATAATTCTATCGATACTGAAGCAAAGAATTGTTCTGATAAAAGATACAAAGAAAGCAACTAAAACTAGAGTAAAAAAGGGTTAATGTTTACAAGCCTAATCATATACGCACGTGAAACGAAGTAAATATATTAAAGAAAAGTATTATAAAGTAACAACATAAATCAGCATTCAAAATTACTTCTTTTTCGGTTCTAAGTAAAGACATTTATATCTCAGGATGGCCTCATATTTCGAATATAGAACTCGGTGGTCGCAGAGAACATTCAAATTCAAAAAAAGTAAAAATATTTCAGTTTTCTCTCACAAACTTCAATTTGCCAAATGAGTAACACTCAATAATGGTCATAATGATTGTTGTTTCGTTCTAGTGTTACTTAATTAAATAAGCTATTATATAATAAATTCAGTAATAGTGTCTTATAAGTAATAGCAACTAGTTAATAGTGTTAGTTAATAGTGTCTTATAAATAATTGTTGAGGAAAAAGTTTTAAATTATTTGTAATATTTAAATAATGATGGACTTGTCACGTGTTGCGATAGATTTCCATTCAAATGTTAAAAGTCGTTTAATTTAATAATCATTTACATATGTGTGAGATCACGAGTGCGAAGAGTCAGTACCCTAATTGCCACTTACATGTCGTTGGCAAAACTCGCACACTTTGTCGTTCGAATGGCTTTTTATCGAGTGACAAAGAGGGTAAACAAGTCGATCGGTGTTCTTTTTGTGCATAAGACAGGTAGACAAACTTAAGAAGTAACAAAAGAAAGTTTACTCTACAACTAAACCTACAATATATATAACTAAACCAAAGATTAGATACGGTTAAATGAAGTTACATATACACTCCTATGGAGTGGATTGATAAAAATTTTTTGTTAGCTCGCATGCTGACTTAATGACCTAGCTCTGTTGCTACTTCCACTGAGAGAGAGTTTACAAGAATCTATAAATACCTCAATATCCGTTGGTCAACTTACAAGGAAACTGTCGGAGTGTCTTCTAATAAATTTTAATAAAATTTAGTTAATAAGTACGTTAAAAGTATACAAACTGTATTTTAAATTTGTAGCATTCACTAAAAGTGTTGATCAGAGTTATTAGCAATCAAATGTTGCACTACTTTATAGTAGTTTAGCACAATTACGCCAATTTTTAGAAGTGAAAGGGTTGCGGAGAAAGACGGCGATATTATATTTAGAATAAATTCTAGAATTTTCAAAAATGGTTAAAGAATTAATAAAATTTTGTATACTTTTAACATAATTATTAACTAAATTTTATAAATTCTTCAACCATGTAAACACAATTTCTCATTGGCGTCAGATGTCTTTCGTTTTTTTCAGTTTTAAGTATTTTTTATGTTTAATTACATTAAGATCAAAAATTGATCGGGAATAAAGTGGTTAAAAAATTAAATTAGAAAGTAGTAATTTTGCGCGAAATTCGCTCATTCCTCAGGCCCATAGATAGGCCAGAGCTTACATATAAATAGAAATTGAACATATTGAAATTATTTATACTATTGAATTAACACAATTGAAATAATTTATAATATATTGAAATGACAGATAAGTTTCTATTTATTAGCAATTTATATTTTTATATTTTAGACATTCTTCCTGTTCACTGGAATGTGTGTTCTTCAAGCAATCCTCTGTCCTTATGTATTCATATTGACATTTATCATTTCAATCTTATTTTACGCTATGTGGACGATTCACAGTCGTGTGCTGAAAAGCATAAAACTTATTGAAGGAAAATGTGAGTATATAGAATTCTTAATAGTTTATTGCATTTAACTGAATAGCATAAAATTTTTTCACAACTTACTACTTAACGTTTCTTGAATGCACTTAATTTTGAAAATAAAATCATTTATTACAGAAAACAATTACGCAGAAATTCTTCGTTATGTAAGACAGTAGTAGAGAAATGAGAGTTCTGCCCCAAAATTTAAAAGTTTAAAAATTAAATGATTTTAATTAAATTAAAAGTAAAAAAAAACTTACTNATTTTTAAGTCTAAAAAATTAAATGAATTAAATCAAATTCAATGAATTTAAACAAGAATTAAAAACCATTGAAATTTCATTGATTCCTACTTTTATTTATTTTAAGTTATTAAATTTAATCAAATATTAGTTAAAAAAAGAAAATATAAAAATGGTCAAACAAACTGAATATGAGCTGTATAGTTTTCTGACAATCTTTGATTCCCTTATAAACAAATTTAAAATTATTCATCTTTTCTAAATCCTCATTCTCTAATTTTTTATTCAATCTGTCAGGAAAAAAACTTGAAATTCATTTAATACTCTATCCCTAAGAACTAGTAAATTTTTATCACCAAAACGAGTGGTTACTGTTTTAATATAAAGAATTGGATATTCATAATAATTTTTTAACTCATTAAATTTCTTAGTCTGACTATTTTGAAGTTTTCCAATATTGTTTACTTTTTCAATGTCTCCATTTATATAGGAAAAATTTAATCAATATAATTTATAAATATTGAAATTCTATATTTTTGTAAGACTTTCTCTTCAGTTTTAACAGTAATTACATCTTATACTTTCAATGGAATAGTTTCATTTTTGACTTTTTCTTTTTTAAAAGAAAATACTAATTTTCTAATTTTTCATTGATAAATATACGCACAGATATTGCTAAATTAGATGTAAAATAAATCTTACTAATGAAACCATTAGATTCAGACACATTTTCTATCATAATTTTTTTATCACTATCATCAATAGGAAGATCGCTTAATGTTAAATAAAATTCCTCATCTTCATCTGGTTTAGCTAAATTCAGAATGCCTCTTAAGATGAATGAATAATTAATTTTGAAATAATTTTGAAAATATAATTTTGTAACTGCATCTCTGTCATTAATTGGATTTTTTAAACTGGTTATTTTTTTATTATCTGAATCATAAAAATCATTTTTCAACAAAAGAGCGGGAGAAACATATAATCCATTTTCAGTTCTTGAAAGCATATTGTTGTCTTTTGTATCAACTTGGCAATCTATATAAAATTTTGTTGCAACTTCAAAGTCAGATGTAGGTTGTGAAACATTTATTATTTTTTTATTTTCTGCATCAAACACATCCTCATCTTTTATGGTCAAAGCATTATTCTTTAAATATCTTATATTCACAACATTTTTGTCTTCTGTTGGATCATTAACATTACCACTTTTTTTGTTTTTTGCATTGAAAACACTATTATAGATTTTCAGACATTTACTGTCTAATGACAGAAGAATTTTTCCTGATTTTGTTACGAAATTATCTACGCTTAAATTTAAATCTTTAGTAATTTTTTCTAAATTAGTTTTATCTGCTTCTAATATTTTAAATTTGTTAGCAAAAGTTTGAAAATCTTTATCTAATTAATTGATTATTTTTAATTTATTATCAATATATTCCATGGTTACAGCATCGTTTTCATTTATTGGATGTTTACAATATTTTAAGATCTTATTTTGCATATCATAATTTCCATCATACATTAATTTAAAACCATTACTCGGAGGACCGAGAGGACCTTCTTTTACTTCATCATAATAATGACCAAAAGAAAACTATTTAGTTACTTTAAAGTTTTAACGGATTCAAAAGTCCTGTTGTACATATTCATAAATCCTTTTCTCTTTTCGACTAAAATGAAATAAAACCTATACGGTTTAGCAGGTGTTTCTCTCAATTGCCAAAAGAGTTCAACTTTCAAATTATCTACATTATTATAAGAGGGATGATTAAAAACATCGAAATGAATTATTGGATATAGTCTTCCAAAGTTTGTATAACTTACCAAACAACCAGACTCTGTACTGTTAGTATTTAATCCCGCCGCTAAAAAATCAGAGTAATATCTCGAATAATCTAATTCTCTTGGTTTAAGGCTAACATTATAATCTTCTGTTGGATATTTATCATTATTAATTCTTAACCAACATCTCATCATGTTTGAGTTATCGAATATCATATTATTTTGATTTCTGATCGTTTTCCGTGTGGGATTAAAAAATATTTCTGATTTCATCTGTAATTGTATTTACAATTATTGTTTTGCTAGAACCATGTTGAACGTTACTTTTAATTAATCTAACAGAACACTAATTAATTTCTATATCTGATGATGGATTAAGAAATAAACTATTAAAATTAACTTGTTGTTCTGGATATAACTGAATATGTGGTAACCAAAGAGAAATATCAAATATTATAACTTTATAATTTGGATTGCCATCGTCGGTATAGATCATATCATTATTCGAATTTCTCCAGAACACAAATCTATCGATGTTTGATATTATTTTCCTAAAGTCGTTGAAAACTCCAAAACATATGTTTAATTGGTATCCACACTTTGATCTTGTTACTGTTTTTTGTTAATATCCATCTTTCTGTTAATCCTTCGTTATAATTTGCATTTTTCTTTAATCCTTCTAGAAAAGTATCTATTTTTTCTATATTTCCGAGAGATTGATCATCGGGTCCATCAAATATTAAAACTTGCCTATCTGGTGATTCTGAGGTTCAATGAAAAACAGTATATTGGTTGCTTCAGAGGTAGAATAATCTTTTGTAAAGTTTATAAGATCATTAATGTGAAGGACAAAAGAGATTAATTCAATTTGTTCAATTAGAGTCTTAACAATGTGTAATTCTGATCTTAAGAACAAATTTTTAGTATTCACTAAAATTACATTATCACTTCCATTTGAAGAATTATCTTGTTTTATAATTTTCACTTCTGGACAGAGATAACTATTGCAATATAAAATCATATTATTTACATCTTTAATATTAAATTCATATTTCGCTTATTCCTTTTAATCAACGGTAACTTTAACTTCTGCATGCCATTTGTACTCAAAACTTTCGATTTCGTTGTTGAAATAATTAGGAAGAGTTAAATCCCAAATTTTTTCCATTTATATGTATAAAATTTACCTGAATCCTGTTCCATATAAACTTTGCTTACTTATAGTATTCCTTACCCTATTTTCCATACTCTGAGATGTTATAGATAAAATACTCTCGAGTTTTTTGTTAGCAATCTTATACTGAACCACAGATTTGGCTTGGCTGCCGATTATTTGTTATAACTTCTTACCAGCTGTCTTACTTGCATTGATAAATATACTTCCTCCATAATATTGTTTACTTCGAACTAACAGTTTATGTTTATTGTAATTCATTTATTTAGTCTAAAATTAAACGAAAAACAACACTCTGTTTTTTAAGGTCAATTAAATTATCATCTTGATCAGTTATCCACATTCGAATTCTATAAATATAATGATTTCTATTGATGTCAGCAAATATGGGATTAATCTCCAATTTTTATCAAACTTCCAGGCGGTTGAGACTGTGTGAAAGAAAAAAGAATATCACTCGCGAAATCGTTGTTCTCTACTCCACTGATTACATCGCAATGAATATGAATATCATCTAAAATATAAATTTTCGTCTATAATAACGTGTCTCCTATTACCAGGACTTATTATACTGGCACTACATAAATATTACAGTTTTACAGAAATACATTTTTTTTAACTTACTTAATATTCCTGGACACATACATAGTTTTGCGTTTCGGACATTCTTGTCGCTCCTCAGCAAATACTTTTGTATATTGTATAACAATAAAATAAGTATTTAAAATTACAATTAAAATTCCCGACAAAAGGTTTAATAAAATTCTTAATAAAATCTTACAATTTTAAGGTTTTCATTTATTTTTACCACAGCTGGACATTCAAATTCGACCGACAATAGCAGTATCACTATAATCTTAAACCTGTATTAAATATATTATTTTAACATTATTTCAGTTTTTTTAAATTTATTTACTATTGTTACAACTCACATTCGTTCTAGATCCGTTTGCCTTACACCTCGTTTCCACTTCTTCTTCTTCAATGGTGTTGATATGGAGATTTTAGCTCAATGTAGGCTCTTTCTCCGAGTAGACTTGTGTATGTGTATGATCGCTAGGCGACCGATTAGCCGGCTGTATCGAACAGCCATACGTACGCGCGGGAAATAAATGCCTTCCGGGAGGACTTTTATGGGGAACTGGCCTCCTATTCAGTCGTTATAGGCAAGGAGAAAACCCGGAAAACTCCAAGCAGCCAGCCTGTCCGACCGTGGCGCGAACCCACGACGAACCTCCCAGTCTTTAGGGTCTGGTCACCACTACGATGAGCGGCAACGG